GTGAAATAAAAAATTATCTCTATTTGGTTTATCCCCTTCTGCTGAAGTGCTGAGTCTGATCATAATTAGCTGGCCCTTCTTACAATGTTTACAAACCAGTGCTACAGGGAGCTACTGAGAAGTGTAATTAGTTATGACGAGATTAAATCCCCTCCTTCTCTTACTGCAGCTCCTTAATCTACTGTCTTTGGGCAGATGAAATGAATACAGAGTGAAGGTGCTCAAATAGTGCTTTTTCCTGTTACAAATTCATTAGCTGGTTAAACCCAGTCTTTATGTCTCCTTTTACTTCTATATGCTCTTGTGCTTCTGTCACCTCCATTTGACCTTCAGTGTGATTTTTTAAGAGTCAGACATATTGACTCTGGGTTTTAGAGCATCTTGGTTTCTAGTGCATCCTGATTCAGCGGCTATCAGAAATGGGGTACTTATGTGGAATTCAAAGCATTTTGATAAAATCGTGATTTTTTAAAATGTGTGCTGTTTTCTTGTTGAAAATCAGCAGATAAAATACACGTTGATATTAAATGTGAGAATTTTTGGCTGTGATCCATTAATATGATAATAGTTCTGTCAGTTAGGTTTAAAATTGTTTTTCAGTCTTTCTTTTAGTCAAGATGAGTGATAAGCCAGACTTGTCTGAAGTGGAGAAGTTTGACAGGTCAAAACTGAAGAAAACTAATACTGAAGAAAAAAATACCCTACCCTCGAAGGAAAGTAAGTCATGGATTGGGGGTTTCTAGTGGAGAAAAGGAAAGGTGAACATTCATATGTTCAGTAAATAAACCCTTCTAGTAAATTTTGCCACAAAGTAAGCGATAATTATGTAGCCACTGAATTTAATGAACAGTTAAAAATATCAATCATCTTCTTTTTTTCTATTTTTTTGTTTCTTAATTTAATTTAATTTAATTTATTTCAAATAGTCATCATCTTACTTGGGTTATGTAAGTGGTTCTTACATGATAGACACAAGAAGTGATGAGGGGATGAAAAACTATTTGCTTGATGGAAAATCACTAAAAAATCACATTACAACCAATTTTGGAATATTAGACTTAACATTAGAAAAACCTTAGTTTTGTCCATTTTACAGTTACTTGGCATTTTCTGCATCTAGCAATTTGGGCCCATGATCTCATTCCTGAAGAACCACACAAAATCTGCAGATTTGGCTTTCTGCACTTGGCGCTCCCAGACTCAAGGAATCAGTTTTGTCTTTGAGAGTTACAGCCTGATGGGGAAACTCCCAAGCATATTCACAAAACCGAGGGGCACTTTTTTTTTTATCATGTTGGTGTTATTTGAGAGTTCCTAATTTAGTCACAATTGTCTGAAAGGGTATAACTTCCTAATTATATAGTGATAGATAAATCTGAGGAAAATGCTTCACTTGCTCCTCAGTCTCAGAATATTCTATGGAAAAAATGGCAACAACCTAACTCTAAGTCTGAAAAGGAAAACAAGACACAGTTGGTGTAGATTCTAGTGAATGTTCTGGTGGTTAACACACACACACACACACACACACACACACACCCCTGAGGATTTATGGTTAGAGCCTTGGCATTCTAAATTTAAAGCAGGTATGGTAGCCTTCAGTGACTTGGCAAAGAGTGGCAAAGAGCTCTTTTGGAAGAAACTGAACTTAATCTTACGAAAATACCATTTTAATGATTGTTTATGTTTGTTTTTTTCCCCAGCTATCCAGCAGGAGAAAGAGTGTGTTCAGACATCATAAAATGGGGATCTCCTCCCAAGAACAAATTTCAACATTGCCTGAATGTCTTGGTTTTAGGCTTGTTTTTTGTAAACCTATGTGTTTGTAGAGATTTTAGGCATCTTCTGATGTCTTCTCATCCATAATCCCTGGCGAAGAGGTCAGAGGTAACCAATGTTCCCTTACTTTCATTTTTAAACTTTCCATTTTTGAACATTCCAGCTCGCTGATGCTGTCAGTAATCTCACCACTGATGACCTTTGTGTGTGTAGTCCTTGCATCCCTAAAGGATAAGTCACTTGTAACTTTCTACACCGGATGTCTCTAGTGTTCCATAACCTTCATGAAGTGACATGCATTTGCAGCTTCTCATAGTTTATTTTCATTTCTAATGTAGCAATAAAATAATAAATATAATCATTATGGACTCCTGCGGTGGTCCATTCTTGGTGGTCTTCTAGGGACTGAAAGTACACAAGGCTACTCTTTTCAGCCAAACAAAATGGTTGAAGGAAAGCCACTTTATCAGATTAGTCACATGGAAAAGGCTCCCCTCTGTCCAGGTCCAGTGGGTCCTGACTTGCTTTTTTCCCATAGTTGGAATCATAGAATTTGAGAACCTTGGGAGGGGAGGTAATGTGGACTAGTCCCCTTATCTTGGAGATGAGGAAATGAAAACAATGTGGTCTGAAGTGATCTTCTAAGGTGAGTAAGGATTGGGATTTAAACTGGGTCCCCTTGTTTTCTGAAAAGTGTTTTTCAACTTAACGAGAGGAGACAGACACCCACTGTTGGGGGTGGATCGGGAAGGGGGCAGGAAGCACTTGCTAACACCCATTGTGCTAAGCACATTACATCATCTATTGAGCATAAACTCAGATACCTAATGCCAGCTACTGACCTGCAGCACTGAACCTTTTGTCTGGTTCTTCTGAACAGAATCCACTGTCTTATGAACCAAGCATTTTTGATGTTTGTAGTAAGCACAAGGCATACGTATAAATGGGAGTATTCCAATCCCTGCCTCTATACAATATTTTATTACTTTTGATTTATAAAAAAACAATCACTTAATAATCCCACCAATTAGAAGTGTTGGCATTTGGGTGTATAACCTTCTAGACTGTGGTCTATTAATATCCAGGTATACCTCAGAGATATTGTGGGTTTGGTTCCAGACCACTGCAATAAAGTGAATAGTGAAATAAAGTGGGTCACAAATTTTTTGGTTTCCCAATGCATGTGAAAGTTACATTTACACTACACAGTTGACCCTTGAACGACACAGATTTTAACTGCATGGGTCCAATTTTGTGCAGATTTTTTCAATAAATATATTGGAAAAATTTTTTGAGATTTGCCATAACTTGAAAAAACTCACAGATAAACCAAGTAGCTTAGAAATATCAATAAATTAAGAAAAAGATATGCTATGAATGTATAAAATATGTAGGTGTAGTGTAGAAAATGTGTTAATCAACTGTTTATGTGATTGGCAAGGTTTCCAGTAAACAGTAGGCTACTAGGAGTTAAGTTTTAGGGGAGTCAATAGTTATACGTGGATTTCAGACTGTGCAGGGGGTCAGCATCCCTAACGCCTGCATTGTTCAAGGTCATCTGTACTGTAGTCTGTTAAGTGTGCAGTAGCATTATGTCTGAAAAAATGTACATACCTTAATTTAAAAACACCTTATTGGTCCCTCTCTCTCCCTCTTCAGAGAGGGCCCACATTCTGTCTATGGAGTGTGTACCAACTTTTAATCTGAGCACCCAACCCCCACAGCTTGTGGCCTTTCTCTTGCCTTTCAATGTATCCCTTTGAATAAATCTACCTTTGCTCAAAAAAAAAAAACCCACCTTATTGCTAAAAAAAAATGCTACCCATTATCTGAGCCTTCAGTGAGTTAATCTTTTTGCTGGCAGAGGGTTTGAAATATTATAAGAATTACCAAAATGTGACACGGAGACACAAAATGATCATATGCTGTTGGAAAATGGAGCTGATAAACTTGCTCAACACAGGGTTGCCACAAACTTTCAATTTGTAAAAAACAAACAAACAAAAACCCCAAAGCACACTTCTGCAAAGCGCAATAAAGCAAAGTACAATAAAATGAGGTATGTCTGTACATATCTTTTCCCACAAAAAGGGAATTATGCTGTTCGGACCTATTTGAAACGTCGAGTATCATGTTACCATCCCTTTCTTACCCTCCACAGGAAGTGGAGGCTGTTTTCTTTGCTACAGCATAAACTTCCACAAGCAAAACAGTAGGTGTGAGGTGAGAAAAAAATCACAGGTCAGTGTAACCAGAGGATTAGAGACTTAGAAGTAACCATGTTGGCCACCAAGACCTAACTCTTGCTTGAAACAATTGTCCAATTGAGTTATTCAGTCCCTTGCAGAGACCTGCTGTGTATACTGTGCCTAAGCCTTACTCCCTGTAACTTCTATCCCATAGTCCTAGGACTGTATGCTGGAGACACACACAGCATGGGTGATCCCTGCTCCAGTATTTGAAGACAGCTGCTGTGTACCTGCTCCCGCACCTCCACGACTTCTCCTTATGACAGTTCTCAGATCATTTGGACCCAAGTTACATGCATGGAGAACCATCCTGGTGCTGATGTGCTCAAATTTTCTCATTATCAGATCTCTTTGGATCCTGATTCTTTCCTACAACACATTCGCTCTCATTCCGGTATTGCCATTAGGAAATTTGAGAAAGATTCTGTGCATCCACGATAAATTCAACAACCCCTGCATTTGTGCACTAATCCAGCACAAGATTAGGCCCATTGCAAAGGGCCTAAAGGGAAGCATGAACATCTTTAGATGAGCCGGTGTGGACAATAACTGCCATTGTTCAGTTGCATCTAGTAACCATTCTTTTCATTAATGTACTGATTCTACCCTCAGCAGTGTAAGTGCTAAACTGAGTGGGAGCAGATGAGAGGTACATGGCAGGAGATGAAAGCTGTTAAGTGAATACTCATAAGATGAGAAAAATGATTGCCCACCTGGAGTAGTTTTATCCTGCCTTTCTTAAATATATAATATGAGGATCTTCTTCTAGTCACTAGATTCACTTGCCTGTCCAAGGGGGAGAATTTTTTTCCCAATAAGTCCACTATAAGCATTGAGATTTAAGTCCTGAGTCAATTTATTAATTGCAAATCTGGAGGGATAATGTCATCGAGATTGCAACATATGTCACTCCTGACTTTATTCCCGCTCATAAGAAGACCCACTAGCAATTATCCATAGACAAGACACCACTGTAAAAATTCCAGAACCCAGGGGTGAGGCTGAAACCTCACTTGCACCAGAGAGACCAAGAAGGACTGCATATTAGAAGGAAAATAGGAGCAGTTACACTCTGATCACACCGTCCATCCCTCAGGCTGGTAAAGCACTACACCAGGATGTTTATCCACTGAAACAGTTTCTCCACTGTGACAAAGATCAAAAGGTGGACATTCAGCTTCTCCAGTGTTGCTGGACGTTTCCCAGGAAGCTCACATGGGTCTTACCTCACAGGGATCACTGGGAAAATCTTCAGGGCTCAACCACTGGGGGACAGATAGAGATGGAGAAGGGAAGCAGGACTTTCAACAACCAGCACTCAGATCAAGGCACACTGCATTCCTGCTTGCAATGGTGCCTAAGCAGACATCCTAGTCAGTGGTTTTGCTCATCTGCAAAGGTGAGCTGGTGGCCACATCTGGCCAGGGAGGTTGGTCGGCAGTTCTGCCTGATTTGGATCCTCAGCCAATGAGCCACATGGGCTGTGGAGTCCCTTCTATGGGCAGAGAAGCAAATTCAGAGCCCCACCCAACAGCTGAGTATGACTGCTAGTCTCACCTGACCAGGATGCTTGGCTAGAGAATTCAGCCAGCAATGGAGCCCATCTTACAGCCCTGCTTGGGTGGGGAGTAAACTATGGGTCAACATACAAAAATCAGTATATGATACACTGCATTAACAGAATGAAGGATAAAAATCACATGACCATCTCAATAGATACCAAAAAAGCATTTGAAAAGTTCAAATCTTTTCAAGATAAAAACTCTCAACAAATTAGGTAGGGAAGGAATGTACCTCAACATAATAAAGTCCATATTTGATAAGACCACAGCTAATATCATACTCAAAAGTGAAAAGCTGAAAGTTTTTCCTCTACGATAAGGAACAAGACAAGTCTGCACACTCGTCATTGTACTGGAAGCTTTGATTAACGCACAAAACAAGAAAAATAGAAGTATACAGACTGGGAGGAAGACATAAAACTGTTTTTGTTCACAGATGACATGATAGTCTATGTACAAGATCTGAAGGAATCAACAAATGCCTGGAATTAACAAGTGACTATAGCAAGATTGCAGGATACAAATACATATGAGTCAACTGATTTTCTATATACCCCAATGAACAAGTCAAATTTGAAATGAAAAAAAATACCATCTACATTAGTACCCCAAATATGAAATAATTAGGTCTAAATCTAGCAAATTATTGCAATATCTATATGAGCAAAACTACAAAACTCTGATGAATGAGATCAATGAAAAACTAAGTTAAGGAAGAGATATTCTATATTTATAGATAGGAAGTCTCAGTACATCAGGATGTCAGTTCTTCCCAAATGAATGTATAGAGTCAATGTAATCCAAATCAAAATACCAACAAGTTGGTTTGTGTATATTGACAAAATGATTCTAATGTTTATATGGAGAGGCAAAAGGCCCAGAACAGCCAACACAATATTGAAGGAGAACAAAATGGGAGGACTGACACTACCCAACTTCAAGACATACTATAAAGCTACAGTAATCTAGACAGTGTGACATTGACAAAATATTGGACGAATGGAATAGAACAGAGAACCCAGAAATAGACCTACATAAATATAGTCAACTGATCTTTGACAAAGGAGTAAAGGCAATAGAATGGAGAAAAGATAGCCTCCACAATAAATGGTACTGGAATAACTGGACATCCATATGCAAAAAAAAAATGAATACAGACATCGACCTTATACAATTCATAAAAATTAAGTCAAATGGATCACAGACCTAAATGTAATGTGCAAACTATAAAATTCCTGTCAAATAACATAGGACAAAATCTAGATGATCTTGAGTTTGGCAATGACTTTTTAGTTGTAAAACCAAAGGCAAAATCGATGAAAGAAAGAACTGATAAGCTGGACTTCATTAAAATTAAAAATTTCCACTCTGTGAAAGACACTGTCAGGGGAATGAAATGACAAACCATAGACTGAGAGAAAATATCTGCAATGGATAGCAGATAAAAGGTTGTTATCTAAAATATACAAAGGTCTTTTAACACTCAAAAATAAATCACAAACAACCTGATTTTAAAATTGGCCAAAGACCTTAACAGACACCTTACCAAAGAAGATATACAAATGACATATAAGCATATCAGAAGATGTTCCACTTCATATGTCATGAGGTACCTGTAAACTGAAACAATGAGATGCCACCACACACCTATTAGAATAGCCAGTTCAGAGCAATGACAACATCATATGCTGATGAGGATGTGAAGCAAAAAGAACTCTCATTTATTGCTGGTGGGAATGCAAAATAGCACAACCACTTTAGAAGACAGTTTGGTGGTTTCTTTGAAAACTACACATACTCATATCATACTCAATCATACTCCTTGGTATTTACTCAAAGGAGTTGAAAACTAATACCCAAACAAAAACCTGCACATGGATGTTTATAGCAGATTTATTCATAATTGCCAAAACTTGGAAGCAATCATGATGTTTTTCAGTAGGTGAAGGGATAAACTGTGATCTATCTGGACAATGGAATATTATTCAGAGCTAAAATTTAATGAGCTGTCAAGCCATGGAAAGAAATGGAGGGAACTTAAATCCATATTACTAAGTGAAAGCCAATCTGAAAAGACTACTTACTGGATAATTCCAATTATATGACATTTTGGAAAAGACAAAACTATGGAGGCAATAAAAGACAAATTTTAGGTTAGGTGGAAGGGAGGGATGTATAGGCAGAGCACAGAGGATGTTTAGGGTTGTGAAATTACTCTGCATGATATTATAATAGTGGGTATATGCCATTATACATTTGTCCAAAACCATAGGATATTCAACATCAAGAGGGAACCTTAGTGTAGACTATGGACTCTCCGTGATAATGATGTGTCCATGTAGGCTCATAAGTTGCAACAAATGTACCGTTCTGGTGGGTGATGTTGATAATGAGGGAAGCTATTTATGAGTAGGGGCTAGGGGCATATGGGAAATTTTTGTACCTTCTCCTTGATTTTGCTGCAAACCTAAAACTGCTCTATAAAATATACTCTGTTTTTAAAAAGACAGTTTAACTTTTATAAATTTAGTATTAATAGAATTTCAGGCATCACTGAGGAGAGTGTTTTAAACAATCTAATTTTTGTGAGGAAAAAAATTGGTGTCATTCTGAATAGTTTTTCTTAGAAACAAAGTAGAAACCTGATTTTTAAAAAGAGAAATCAGTTTCTGGTATAATGAAACTTATGCTTTATGAATGTAAAATTTGTTGTTCAAATCAAGAAAAATATATTTAATCATTTCTTCTGAGTGTTCTGTGACAGCATTTTGTTTCAAAGTTGATATTACTAAGGCAAATATAAGGGGAGGATGAGGAAGATATGCAGATTTAGCATTTATTAGTATTATACACTCTCCAGCTAAGCAGCCACTTTACTGGATTTAGAGGGTGGGTGGAGTTTGCTTAGACTGGAATGTCCTTGGGCCTTTCCTCTATAACTCTTGTGCAAGATACCCACACTTCACTATTGACACGAACAAGGCAAGGATTGGGATGAGAATTTGGTCAAATTATAGTTTTGTTTTACAAAAAAAAGTGGGTTGGGGGGAGGGTATAGCTCAAGTAGTAGAGTGCATGCTTAGCATGCACAAGGTCCTGGGCTCAATCCCCAGTACTTCCCCTAAAAATAAATCTAATTACCTCCCCCCAACCCCCGCCAAAAAAAAAGTTAATGGGTTAAAAAATTAAGTCAGGATGAAAGAGCAGGCAGGATGGAATAGTGTAGTGTAGAGATTTTTTTTTTAAATATATTTTTTTGCAAAATTTGGAAATGAGCCAGTCCAGGACTCCTCAAATCACTGTGGTAACCGGCCAGTAGAGTAAAACGTAAACTAGGAGTAAAGAATGAGCAACACAAGGGCCCTTAGAGTCATCTCTTCCAGTACCCTCGTGTTCTAGATGATCTCCAAGGCTCACAATTACATTATAATGAAGAGCATGCCAGGAAAACAGTTGGAAGAACCAAACTAAAACCCAGGCTCCCTCTGAGACTTATGATCTTGCCCCTTTTCACCACAAAGCTTCTATGGCCAGACCTTTAAAATGACGCTTGGTTTCCACACGTAAAATGAAAGTTTAACAGCCTCTTTATCTCCTTCACGTTGTGTGGCGGATTCACTTAAAAGAAAAAAACCCTCGAAATAGAATTCTGAATTTCCCTAACCCAGTTGGTTCTTCATTTCAAAGGCTACATGAGGTGAAACAAACAAGAAATAATGCTCCTTTTCCTTCCTAAATGGTTATTTAAATGTTTTCTTTTTCCCTAGCGGAGAGAAGCTAGTAGCTTTGGACCGTTCCTTGCCTGTGAGGGAGGAACAGGACTTGAGAATATTAATTGCAACCTCCTAAGGGGCTTCGAGCCTTCAAAGAAGGGTATGAGCCCCGAGCCTCCTCATGGAGATTCCCGGCCTCCCGCCTCTGTCACCAAACGGTACGTTGCTGCTTGCCTTTCCTGCTCTTTTGGTTCCCATGGTATCCTGAGCACATGACCTGTCCTGCTACCCGGGAGACCGGCTACCCTTTCTTTTCAGGTTTTGGACTCTTCTACCTGGCCTCATTGGCAGGGGTGCACTTTGGGTTGGTTTTATCATCTCCATGGTTGTGTCCAACCCCTTCGGACTGATCTCCCCTCCTGCCCCGTCCCCCATGGTATGTCCCAGAACCAGATTGGAGAGGCAGAGGGGCTTCACTAACAGACACAACCGCTGGCCGAGGACTGGAAGGAGGTGAGGGCCAGGGTTCGGCGGGCCGTGGAGGTCTCTTGCTGCCTGAATCCAGCTGCCAGCCCTCTTCATAACCAAAGGCGAGTCTGGGGTGGACATTGAGGAGGAAGAGGGTTATTTCTAGACTAATTAAAGACAGCTGGAGTTGAAGTTTCCTCTCCCAGCTCAGCCAGTACTGTGTAGTATGCCCTCTGACAAGTCATTGTCCACCTCTGGGCGTTGATTTTCTCTTCGGCTTGCCCAACGCTAAACTTCTTTGATTTCAGGAAAGGCCGCCTGGCTGGTCCCAAATTCTCCTTCCCCCAAGGCTGTTTGTGGAACCTGGCTGTTCCAAAGAGAACCCCTTGAAGCCCTCCTCCCTAACTTCCTCAACTGGGAGCAGCAGGTTCAGGCATTATGGCACAGGGTGGCAGTTGAAGAGCCCTCCTCCCCCGCATCCCTGGGTCAGAGCCAAATTTTACACCACCATCAGCTTGCCTCTTTCTTTTCTCCCCAGTTCCAGATACCATCAAGATGCCCAAGATTGAAAAAACCGTGCTCCAAAATGATCCCAATGAAGCAGAGAGTGGAGCCCGTAAGCCTAAAACACCAGGGCAGAGTCAGGAAAACAAGAGCTTCTGTTTAGATGACCACTGTCCTGGTACGTGTAGAATTCTATCATCACTTCTTTGGGTAGTGCTTGAAAGCAGTTAGGTTAAAGGAATAGATAGCTTGTGACTTAAGTGCCTTTAAGGAGCATAGAATGCTTTTGCAACCTTGCATTTTCCCCTCCTCATCCCTCTGGTACTCCTCTTTTAGATTATTCTTTTCCTTGTCTTTTGTTCCCTCTAATCTTTACATATTGGACCTAGGCCTCCAGATTGGCAAGTGAAATTAAAAGATATTTTGGCTGTAGAAATAGAGGCCAAGAAACATAGAGACTTGTGTTTGACATAATGACAAGACTTGAGAGTGTCTAAGTTAGTTCAAAACATGGGAAATAGATTGCATTCTTATATTTTGATTTTATAGATTGTAAATGGTAGATCCAGGATGAATTTGAAAGAATTCTAATTATCTAGTGCTGGAATTGTGTTCTGTCCTTTTCCAGCAACACTTGTTGGCATAAGAATTATCACTGCTATAGGGTAAATTTTTTTAGATCTGTAATAGTGCTTTTCTGTATACACCTAGGCATGAGGTATCTTCCACGCCTTATGGTAGGCATTTATTTGAGATTCTGGTTTGATTGGTCCAACCTCATAGGAACTCAAATTGCAATTCTCTTACTATAATCTACAATGAATTTAACCAAACATCAATCTGAAGATCTGTTCAAATGTGGTGACTTTGATCTAAACTTTTGAAGACAGAAATGGGAAGAATAGTCGAAAGCCACAATACTGTTAAGTTGAATCCTGTCTGTCTGTCTAGTGGCCATTTAGGGTCACTGTCAGTAAACAGAATGGCATAATTATTAGTTTATAGTGTCTCTTAAATAAATGGCTTACTGAATTGATTAAAAGATACATTTTAACAAATATGTAGCTTTTTAGTTAGGGTAGGAAGGAAATGTAGATTGGTGGTACCAACTTTTGTTGAAAGACTTTTTAAATGAGAAGTAAATATGCATAAGTAGATCATCTCCTTGCTGAAAGTTTTAGAATTCTTTTATGTGAGTCTTATATTTTGGTTATAAATAGTTCTCTCTGAACAAATTATGGAACAATATTGAAAGTGAGTGAGAAAATAGTTTTATTGCATGCTTTATTTTGTATATCAATTAATAATTATAGCTACTATGTGTGCTTACTGTGTATCTCAGCTGTAATTAAGCAATCTTTACAGCTATCCCTCTGTATCCACGAGAGATTGGTTCCAGGACCCTCCACCCCTCAGGATACCAAAGTCCTGGTGCTGAAGTCCCTTATGTAAAATGGCGTAGTATTTGCATATAATCTACTTACAGCCTCCTGGATACTTTAAATCATCTCTAGATTACTTATAATGCAAAATTCAATGTAAATGTTATGTAACTACCATTGGGGAAAAATTCAAGTTTTGCCTTTTGGAATTTTCTGGCATTCTTTATTTTAATATCTTTGATCCCATGGATGTGGGAACCTGCGGATGTGGTGGAGGTGGGGTTGGACGGGTTGGCGGGGGTTGGTGATTACATGATGAACTCAGAACAGTGGTTCAGAAATTCTGGTGCTAGTGTGTGACAAAGTTCTTACCAATCTCGAATGAAATAAAACAAAGATATTGCAAATGAACTTTTAAAATAAAGTTAAATTGATGCAATTTAAATGGTTGCTGTATTTTGACTCGTTTCTTTTTTGCCCTTTGAAATGCTAAAATACACGTTTTAAATGAAATGATTATTTGGATGATGGTGAGTTTTTTTTTTCTTTTTTGCCGCAATGCCTATATGTGGAAAAATTAAAGTTGGCAAATCACTGTCAGTCACTCATTTCTGTGTATGTGAAATTGTATTGGTCTGCGGAATCTCCAGATTTTAGAACAATGTTTGAAGAACGGTTCAGCTTTAGAGCCATCTTGTAAGATTTGTGGTGTTATCTGTAAGAAGACTCATTTTATGTCTCTCCCTGTCTCAGAGGTAGGAAGAGGATAGTAGAAACAGTGAGTTTTCGATAAAGGTTTATTTTATAAACCATAACTTACGCACCGTTTCTTTGCTGTGTTTTACTGATTGTTTTTACACTTCAGGCAAAAGGTTTTGAAATCATCTTCACTAATGTTTTTCGTAAACTAACTTCCTTATGTCTGACCTCTCCGAGTTTCCAGAGATGTTGAAGAGCAAAGAGTTCAGAAAACCTTAAATACTGAAATGATTGAGTTTGTGTAAGATCTGTTTGATAAATCTAAATTTGAGGGTTTTACAGGGCTTAGTGAATCTCTAAATAAAATAAAAATTCTTTTTGTGTGAGTTCCCTGTTGATGACTGCTATGCCTTTTTCCAGAGAGTCAACATGAAGTTCTTTCTGTCACAGATCTGATAGAGACAGTTAACGAAGTTTCTAAGCTTAGCATTGCTCATGAAATCGTGGTAAATCAAGATTTTTATGTGGAAGAGAGTGTATTACCTCCCAACAGGTACAGACTCTTCTATTTTTTCCATTTTACTCCTCCTGGCATAGGTACATAGCACAAATGACTTTTGATCAGGTTTGAAGCATTTTTATTAATACAGTTAATGTTTGAGTATGTCTTAAATGGTACCAACAAATAAAACAGAGGAGTAATCTGTGTAATTATTAGTTTAATAGAGTGAAAGCAGAATAATTATATTTAAACAGGGAATAAATCAATGCAGTTACTGTCAGAATGTTAATTTTGGTATCCCAGTTAGCAATGAAACACAGTGAATTTCACATCTTCTCAGACAGCTTTGAAGGAAGTAGCTCCTAGAAGTTCATTATTCTTTTAATTATCTACAGATTGACCAAAGTAGGGGTGAAAAGATTGCCTTTCTAATAGTGGTATTGCCAACTCTTCATGGGATAAGCGATGTCAGGGAACATTTTTGCTTCATAATCAGCTTAATAAAAATTCTGTGAACCCAAAATTCTGTGAGCCCACTAATAAATAATGTCCCTCTAACGTTAGACTTTATTCTGCTTCTTATTATATTGATATTACAATACATAAATAGGAGTCATTCAGTAAGTATGAGTTGAATACTTCTAATGATTTGTTAATAGTTAGATGGGTAAATTTCTTTGTCAGAAACAATATTGTATATAGCATTTCTAATTTGCAACCTTAAAAAGTGGCTTCTATTTTGCCACTTTACGGATTCTATTACATAAGCACCTTGCTCTGTCAGTTTTTCTCCCGGTCTTCACACTTCTTAGTTTGCCAACAGGTACCCATGCCGGGCACAACTTCACTGAAGGGGGCTTTCACCAAAACACAGACCTGCTTGTATCTTCCTCGGTGTCTCTGGAGCCTTAGTTAGATTTATTTTTTCTACTAGCTGGGGTGCAGAGAAAGTAAAACTAGGGAGGGGAGTGAAGGTCTATTAAAGTGAGGGGTGGGTAAATGAAGCAGAGGTAATACTATTCAGAGCTTGGTTTTCATTGTTTTGTTATTAACAGCCTTATTCTAGTGTAGTAATGCAAAAAAGTATACCGGAAAAGAGATTGAATTAGAATTTGGGGTTATCTGTTATCTATAGATAATCAATGATTGGTTTCATCTTTGGGCTTATAAAATCATATTAATTACAGTTATGGATTCCTGACAAGGGAAATCTCCTTGTCAGGTACTCATTCAACAGATTTTATTGAGTACTTACTTACTAGGTGGATGGCAAAATGTTAAATGATGGGGACATATAGATGAGTAACATGCTGGCTTTGCCATCAAGAAGCTTCTGTAGGAGAAACAGTCAAATAATAGATAGCTCCTGTGCAGTGATAAATTCTCTCACACCTAGTATATGGAGTTCTATGTTCATGTTTAGCTGCCTGAGGAGGATCAGGGGAGCCTTTCCTGGTAAGGTGACACTGTATGAATAGGTGCTTTTCAGATGGTCTAGGGGGAAAAGGATTCTCCTGGAAGTGGAAGTGACATGTCAGAAGCATAGAATGGTGGAAGATGATTATATATGCATTATAAGTAGTTTGTTATTGTTGAAGAACAGTGTTAGAAGGAGGTTGACGATAAGGTAGGAGACGTAGCAGATTAGGATCATGAAGGGTCTTAGAGGCCAGGTATCCTGCTGGTGATGGGAAGCTTCTAAAGGACTTTAAATGAGCATGTCGTTGTGGTCAGATTTTTATCTTAGAAAAATCATTGGTTTTAGCAAGAATATGTGGCATTGTGGGAGTAATACTTTGTTGGGGCAAGAAGGCCAATTACTAGACTATTGCAATAGACCAGATGGGGATGGATTCCAGAGATATTTAGGAAGCAAAATCTCTGGGATTTGGTGACCAAGTGCATAAAAAGGATGAGGGGAAGTAATTATTACACACTAGATGAATAATATTTGGTGACATCTCACAAATGGGATTGGTGTGTTGGGGGAGGAACTTTGACTTTTTTCATTTATCTTTGTATTGCTTGTAAAAATTTTAACAGAAGCATGCATTACTATTGTATTTTTTAGTGGGGAAAAGGATAAGCTTTATGGCTTGCATGAATAAGGAACAGATTTGCGAGGGGAAGATAATGAGTTCAATTTTAGGCTTGCTGAGTTTGAGGTGCGTGTAAGATTTTCAAGTGTTATCAAGAAGGAAAATCCTTCACTGGCTTTTAAGACTGAAGGAAAAGATCATTTAGTTCAAAGATGTAAGTCTATGGATACAGAAACCAAGGCACACACATTTAGATGGATGAAGAACCTCGACTAGAACTCAGGGACTCAACCTTTAGTTCATGGTTCTTCTTATTGCAGGAAGAGAGCCTCTCTGGAACCATGAGGTATCCTTCTGAGAAAATTTGGCCAATGCTTTTACATCTGAGACTAAACTCAGTTTATTCAACTCTGCTGAAGTCTAAACATAGCTCCTGTCCTGTCAATGTAATGGTCCTTCATTATCTTAAATGCTGTTTTGGATTTAGGAAATCATGATCCTATATCAGTTCTATGGGTAAAGAGCAATTTGCTCATTTAATCTTCTTATAGTCTTGAAGGCAGGATTATGGAGATGATGTACAATGCTTTTTGGGACCATCTGGAAGACCAGCTATCAAGTATTCCCCCCGACTTCACTTGTGCTCTTGAACTTCTAAAAGAAGTTAAGGAGGTGAGTAACCAACCTCCCATTTGTGGATAGCAAGTTCCTGAGCATCCTATACCTTTTGATTGCTGATGGCTACCAATATTCTAAACATGTCCACTATTTAAGTAGATCGTATGGAAAAGCTTCCATTCTATTTGTATGAGATAAAACCTGAAAGTTGTGATCTTGCTATAATGACACATTATATCATTTAATGAAACAGGTTTTCACTGAACCCCCATTATGTTTTATGTGTTTCAGAAGCACGTAGATGAATAAGAGAGCCCTTGCCAACAAGGAACTTATACTTTTGAGTCAAAAGGTTATTTTAAGTGATCCTTAATAGTTTCTTTGCCTTCTGAAGTAAGACAATTTAATAATGTCTTTATCCTTTATTTAGAATGTCTCATTCAGACCCACAGACACAGAAAACAAACTTATGGTTACCAGGTGGGAAAGAGCGGGGAGTAAATTGGGAGTTCAGGATTAGCAGATACTAACTACTATGTCTAAAATACATAAACAGCAAGGTCCTACTGTATAGCACAGGGAATTATATTCAATATCTTGCAATAGCCTATAATGAAAAAGAATACTATACATATATATATGTATAAAATTGAATCACTATGCTGTACACCAGAAATTAACACAACGTTGCAAACTGACTATACTTCAATTTGAAAAAAAGAATGCCTCAGCCACCTTGTGGTGGTGCACTTCTTTTATCACACTCTTGTTTTCAGTCATATCTTTATCTCATTCTGTCCAGAAAGTAATATGGTGCTACTGTTCCTACTGATCCCAGTGAAGCCTTAAATTATAATTGGCCCCTAAACAGAGGAAAATAATATTCCCTATAAAAAATTTGGAGACCTAGTTTCTGGATCCCCTGAAGACAAAGACTGAGATGGCTTTGTCTTAAGGGGGTTGTTCATTACAGAATGTTTGGGATTCTAAACAATTTGGCTCCACTGATTTTCTTTTCTGGGCAGATCTTGCTATCGCTGCTATTACCACGCCAGAACTACCTGAGAAACGAGATTGAAGAAGCTCTGGACATGGATCTCCTCAAGCAAGAAGCAGAGCATGAGGCCCTGGATGTTCCTCATCTCTCTAACTACATTCTCAATTTGATGATCCGGCTATGTGCACCAGTCCGAGATGAAGCAGTGCAAAAACTAGAGAGCATAACAGATCCTGTGCAGTTACTGAAGTGAGAAACTAAATGTACTGTCCCTGAAATCTGTCTTAGACACTGTGCCAGAAAACTCTGGGCCAGATTCTGTGTTTAAGCCCCTGGCCTTGTCTAGCTCTTCTATACTGAAGAACTGACTAATACCTCCATTTTCCCTCTCTGGACTATTGGCTGTTATATTCCAAGATCAGACTCTCAGGGCCCTTTTGATGATCTTTACATAGTTTAGACCCTTCTAAAGAAATGATACTGTTAAGACATTAGCATACAGTAATTATTTCTTCTAGAGATTTCAAACAGCCCTTTCCCAGACATCCTCCTATGTGTCCTAACTCAAACCCTGTGAGGGGACAGGAATGAGGATTATCCTTGCTTCACAGCTGGAAGAACCAAGACCCAAAGAGATAAAATGGTATGCCCAGTGAGTTAGAAATTCAATCACCATCATTCTAACTACCCACAGATAGTTGTTGAGATTTTGGTCATTTTCCTGAGAAGACAGAGCGACTAGACTGGATAGAGCTTTAGACTGATAACTAAAAGGTCAGAAGATGTATCTGTTCCTAGCTCTGCCAACAACTCACTCTGTGGCCTTGGGTCCCTGGGTAGAATGTCTTTATTTGTAAATTGAAGTAGAACTATGGTTTTTAAGGCCCCTTTTAACTCAAAAATACTGTAATTTTAGGACTCCTTACTTGGGTTCCACCTCTCCACACTAGATTTCCTTTCAGAGTGTAAACATTTGATTTCTTCCTGTAACAGGGGTATCTTTCATGTTCTGGGCCTGATGAAAATGGACATGGTGAACTATACTATCCAGAACCTTCGACCCTACCTGCAGGAACATTCTGTCCAGTATGAAAGAACTAAATTCCAGCAACTCCTCAACAAGCAGCCCAGTATGTTTAAAATTTAAGGGCAGAAGAGGGGAAATTTGACCTTGGGTCTGCCTTCTTACAGTGATAGAGTATTTTCTATTTTTTGAGTAGAAACTGTCTTCCTTGGGTAAGGGGTAGGAAGAAGAAACATTTCTCTAAGACAGAAAGACCTACAAAATCACTTCTTTATTGACCAAGAATATATCTTCAAGCCTTAGTCTTCAAGCCTTGGAGTTTGAAGACATTCAAATATTCCCTTCTATGTATGTCATAGGTCTCCTCGATTGCACCACAAAATGGCTGATCAAAACGGCTGTAGATCTCACTACACCATCTCCAAGTTCTCCTGAGTCTCCCAGCTCCTCCAGGATGGCCTGTTCACCTCCAAATTGGGCAGCTAACAACTCAGAGCTTCCCAGTTCCACCATGGTGCTGTATGAGGGTTACGTGAACCTTCTTCTCTGGGATTCTGACATTGAAGAGTTTCCCGAGGTAGGAATATGTGTTAGAATGTTGCCTTTTTGTTTTGTATTAAATACTTCACTAGAACCCTCTTCTCCTGACAATTTGCTCTTCCCTGCCTCACCAGACTCTGCTGATGGACAGAATGCGGCTGCGGGAGATAGAATCCCAGTTGAACCAATTAACAATACTGGCCTCAGTCTTGTTAGTGGCCAGAAGTTTCTCTGGTAACACTTTATTCAGCACACCTAAATTTTTGGATAAACTAAAATGTATAACCAAGGCCCTGATGGAAGAATTTAACCCCAGGTAAGCTCCATAGATCTTTCAGAGAGTTGAAAATAGTATGTGGTTTTTAGGGACATAAACAGCTAATGTATTATTGCTTATTCTTCAACACAAATGACACAAAGAACCTTGGAAACCATCTGCAAAGGTCATTGGTGTCTTTTGATAAACTGTATTATGGCATGGGACAGAGACAAAAATTCTTTCCAAGGAGGAGAGTGTGGAACTAGTTTACTACAAATGATTCTTATCATGTTTGCTAAAAATGAGTCATGATATACTTAAATGAATGACACTGGATTTGTGTATGTATATCCAGAAGTTGATCAGTTGGTCAATAGTACTGATTGATCATTTGCTGCATGCAGGGCACCACAACCAAAGTAAAAAGAGGAATTAGAAATTCAGGTCTCAATATATCTATAATTTAATTGGTGAAGTAGGGAAAACAGCCATGGAAAATGCCTAAGAAAATCTTTAAAAAGTATCTGAATAAAGTTTATGGGACTAAACAGTACTGAGTGGATCCAAGGATGGAACTGAACCCTCGTCCAATTTATCTTGTTTTCTTTGAAGTGGAGTATAGTACTGTATGTATGAATTAGTTGGCACCTTGAGGGTAACAATGAAGATATTTCACCTGCACTCTGAGTCCTGCTGTCTGCTAGTGGTGGAGAGCTGGAACTCTTTTCTGAGTGGAGTTGGCCTCTGGTATGGGGCTGTCTGTGCTTTGACCGTATGCCAGGGCCATTCTGCTTTATGTCCTTCATTTCTAGGCCTGAAGAGGCTATGGTGAGTGTGAGTGAACAAGTGTCTTATGAAATCCATCAAGGCCTCAAAAACGTGGGCCTCAATGCCCTGAGTAGTGAAAAGACAGCATCTCTTATAGGCCAACTTCAGAACATTGCCAAGAAAGAGAACTGTGTTCGTAGCATTATTGGTAAGAGTCCCATGGTGGTGGTGGTGGTGGTGGTGGTGGGGAGGGGTGGCAAGGATGTGGAAGATGAGAAAGTGGAGTTAACCCTGGAAGTCAGTTATGAAGCCATTTAAAAATGGAAACGCATGATCACTGGGAAAGTCTTTTGGTTTTAGTTTCCTTATGTATAATGTGCAGAATTGAAGTAGAATCTCTTTCAGTTTGAAGAATGAACATATGGTTTTAAGGTGGATCTGCAGCTACGACATATAAATTACCAGTGTGAGATACTGTCCCACCAACCCTACTAAGTCATCCCTGGTCATTGTCTAACTATATAGTCCTAGACCTACGGTGTGAAACCCCTTCTCTATCCCACGCTTTAAGTTACCATACAGACCCTCACACACCTCCAAGGAATAGATGCTAACTTAGTCTGTAGGACATATTCCATGCTAGAATGGAAGCAGTGAACTTGGACACCTTGCTTCTAACTTTTGCATCTTAGCATAGTCAGATTTGGATCTGTGATCCTGAACTTGGTGCACTGGCTGCTATGTGTGTCCTTAGAATTTCAGGTACATTGTCTAGGATCCTCTTTTTAAGTCAAATGCATGCCAGGAGCTCACTTAGAGCCACATAATACTATGAACAGCCAGAAATTTACTAGCTTTACATCTTTTGATCATGCATTGTCTTTGGGAGCTTGATAGCATTCCCTCCTCCAAAATAAAACAAACAAACAAATCTCATTTATGGGGTTTACCCAAATGAGTGGGTAGATCAGTGAAAATCTCAGTTAATTTAAACTTTGGTGAACAGAGAGTGCAAGAACATTGTGTGTTTCTTTTGAAACCTCTTTGATCTTTCTCGCTTCACTCTTTCTTGCTCACAGATCAGCGGAGCCGCTTTTTTCTCAAATGCTGTTTGGTTCATGGTATGCAGGAGTCTCTGCTGGACTTCCCTGGAGGCCTTATTCTCATCAAGGAAGAGTTGGCAGAACTGGGTTGGAAGTTTGTCAATCTGATGCATCACAATCAGCAGGTGTTTAGCCCCTACTACGAAGAAATCCTGAAAGATATCATCCCTCCAGCTCAAGCACAAGAGAAAGAAGTGGAGTCTGTCTGATAGTGCTGGACTCCGACTATGGCAACAGGGACCCAGGAGAGAGGGCTCAGCATGTTCCTGGGATGACATCACCTGTGGCCAGCAGATCAGCCTCTTCCTCAATAAAGCCCAGACACAGGGCTGCAGGGTTCAAGCATGTAAACACCAACTGGCTCAGCCTCCTTCATAATAAACTGAGCTGCAAGAAAACCTCGATTCCTTCTGTGTTGCAACTGAATCCAGATTCCGTTAAACGCTTAAACCCTACCATGTAAGAAGCCAGTGAGCCCTCAGTTTTCCCTTCACTGGCTGATCATTCTTCAGTATTCTGCTTGAGCATCAGGTGCTAGCGTTATTTTCTCCAATGGAAAATCATTTCCTTGAGGGCTCTGAAAACGTTTGGGGGAATTTTGCAGAGTATGAGTTCTGGAAGTGTAAGGGCTTCTGGAAGTCAGAAATACACTGAGATCAAGAGAGGCCAGAGAACCCCATTTCCAGTACCAAATTTTCCATATAATTTAAAAAGATGCAGTAACAGTAAGAGTCCCCACCTCCTGTTCTAGTGTGGGGCACGAAGCAGTATGAAAACCGGGGACTGGATGAAAGTCTGTATTGTCTGCTAACAGGCATTCAGCTGAGGACAGTTCTCAGCCTCAGCGGGATTCCCCCCCACTGCCCCCCCTCCTGGGGGTCAGGTTTGGAATATCTGAGACTGACAGCAAATCCAAGCCCTTAGGTCACTGACATTTGTATCAAGTTCATCTCTGTTCCCATTCCATAGCTGAATCAACCTCCTGTTTTCACATTTTTAGGTTTAGAACACCCCTTTCTTTTTGACAGAAGTGATGTGGGTATTCAAGGGTGGGGTAACCATCATGCTTCTTTCCACTTGCAGACTGAGACTCTAACTCCCAGGTTATGATTGTCAGCTCAGTTGGCATCAAAAATGACAGATGTTCTAGGTCCACAAGGATCTGGGCTTGTTTTCTGAAATTGTAGATATTCATCCTATCATTTTCAGGCCAACTGCAACAGACCAACAATCTAGGAACTTAGGGAAGAAAGTCAGTTTTGATTTGGACTTGTTTGAAATCGACAGGAGAAAATGGAAATTCACTTGTGGGATATTACAACTGGATGGAAAAAATGTCTTCACCATTTCAGGGGATGTAAAGAGCTGAGTATGATTTATATAATCCAAGAATGATAACAGATGGGATTTGAGTTCCATTACACTGAACGTAATTTTTCTAGAGGGTGGATCCCAGGTGATTGACACAGCTAGATGAATAGAGTGACATTAGACTGAAACGAAACTTTGCCTTATACTTTATAATTAAAATTTGGTATAATTTATTTCTTAGACATTCTGAGTTGGTTCTCTATTTCCATATGGAAGAGATAGAGATCCTAATCTTAAACAAGGAAAGATGACTGCATTCAATTCTGCTTACCATTTAGGGAATATATACGTGTGTGTGTGTGTGTGTGTAAATTGGTAGTATGTGTACATGGTTAAAAAAGACATGGTGAAAAGTCAATTTCTCTCCCACCCTGGTCTCATTTCCTCTACCCAGAGGAAATCATTATCAGATTTTTGTATATCCTTCCAGAGATATCCTAGAGTCAGAGATGCAGTGCACTGTATGTTAGGAGGGCAGTCAGTTTCAATATTTCAGGTCTAGAGGTCACATATTTCAAAATCAAAGTCTGAGCAGTGTTTTGTTAATTAATATTAATATTTGTTTCATGTTCCTAAATATTTTCCTAAATGTTCAGACAGAGATTTGCCTGAAAAGGTTTAACTATACTGTCAAGACATGTCTCCAGCAGCAGTCATCTTCAATCTCACAATTAATTGGAACTGCATCTTCAGGCAGAAAAGCCAATGGCTCACTCTTCCCCTAATTCAAGGCAGAGCACACAGAAATGTTAACAGCTTTAACAAACTTCATCTAAAACCTCATCATTATCTAAAATGCTAGGCCCTTACGTCACTAGTCTAATTGTCTAGCTTACTCATCTCTCCTGAGCCTCAAACTCTCAGTTATAGCTTCATGTGGAACAAGGTGAGCGTTAGTACCCACCACCCCATGCATGCCGTGATCTCTGAAACGTGTGACAACCAAGGGCCTCCAACAGACCACTATTAATGCACCTTCACCATCACCAAGTGTGAAGTCCCTTGTTTCCTGTCTCTCCAGCTGTGCTTGTGTGTCTATAGGGGAAGCAAGAACTGAATATTTTAGTGTGGTGCTGACAGGAGCTTTAGTTTCAGTGAGTGCACAGAGCAGTCAGCCTGCACACAAGGCAATAAAGCCGTGGTATTTACTGACTACAGGCCCACTAGGACCCTCAGTATGAAGTGAGCCCCAAGCTCAGAAGAGGCTCTGGGAGGAGGTGTGTGAAGGTAGAGGCTGTAGGGAAAAGGGACACACAAGTTTAGAGATGTATGTACGTGTTGAAGTGTCAGCCTCTTTACAGGGCCCTTCACATAGAATTTCTCATCAGCACATTGGGAAAAATATTAACCTCCAGGCTTTGGCGGCAGAGACAACGGGGGCAGGGATACTGGTCTTAAGGAGAAATAGCAAAGGGGCTCATACTGGGCTGGGCCTCATCAGCTCCCTGGACGCGCACATTTTACATTTTAAACAAACAATATAAACCTTTAAAATTTTAATGGATTCTGCCAAGTAAAACTTAAAGTTATAAAAATTTCAAGTGAAAACCCACAGTATACAAGAAGGGCCTATTTCCCAACACTCCTTCCACCTAAAATTTAGTATAGTTTCTGCCCCAGCCTGTCCACTTTTGAAAACTTAATTAATATATTATATCAAGTTTTGCATTAGGATTTCCATAGTGATTGTAGTTAAGAAGATTTTCATGGCTGTATTTGGCCTTTTTGTTGCTCTTAATGAGAATTTTAGGTTGATATCATTTCATCTTTCTACAGTTATTTCTATACCAGGATATTAAACCTTTTGCAGGTAATATATATGCCAATTTTTCTTCCCACATTTTTATATTCCTTTTAATTTTTTAGAAGCAAAGTGTTTCATTTTAAATTTAATAGATGTTTGTGATTAAGAAAATAACATGGTTCAATGTTTAAAAGTTAATGAAGAACACCTAGAGGTCACAGAACTCCGACCTTTGAATTGATCAGTGTCACAGAGCATCCTCACGCAGCGGAGGCGCCAGGAGCCATGAGGTGTGCCTTGGGCTTTAGGGTAAGTGCAGATTTTGAGTCCTTGCTTTGCATTTTCCTAGTACTATACCCTGTGGCAGGTGACTGACTGGCTCTATCTTTCATCTTCTTTGTAGATAGGACAATGGCAATAGTACCTATTGTGAAAGATCTGATAAGGATTGAAGGAGATCAACTGACAAGTTCTCTCCACAGAGAAGCAGACTGGTGACTTCATATCTGTCCCTCAGGTTTCCTTCCCCATGTTCGTACCTGGGCTTGTCCCTACACACCATGGCTTCTCGGGAACTAGCCACATAATAATTACTGTTGAGTAAGGGATTGATCATGATTTCTATTTTCTTATTTATGTTTTATATATTTCTAGACTACATAAAATATTTTATTATCTTAATAAAAATCATCTTTGCTTTGAACCTAAGCTTATAATAGCCACTGGCCTTCTCAGCAGTGTGATACCTTTTTTTTATGATATTCATCTGTGACTTGATAGAGAAGATGAGATTGCTGAGCAGGAGATTTCATCATAATTTCATTTTACTTATTCCTTCAGCAATTGCAAAACAAAGCATTTAGCAAATTTTGTTTCATTTTCTCAAATAATATTTTTCATTGAAGAAAATTTAGAAATTGGAGGTCACTGACTACTAATGTAAAGAAAGCTATGTATGTATATGTGCATGAGAGAGAGAGAGAGGATGTCAGTATGTATTGTCGATGAAAAATGAATCAATCAATATAAGATAGAAATGGAAAATTTTATTTGAGCCAAATTTTAGGATTATAACCCAGGAAGGGCATCTCAGAAAGCTCTGAAAACTATTCTGCTGGTTAGAAATCAAGGCACAATTTTATAAGTTTTTTGAGATAGAGGGCTGTACATCAAATGACGTATTATTGACAGTTTACATGATCCAGATCTAAGCGTCAATCCTGGTGGGTCATGTGACCCCTTACAAGATCAAGAAGCAGTGTTATCATTTAAGGAGTTGTCTTGGTGATGCCGGGAGAATGTGGCATCTTTATGGTTGAGCAGGTATCCCTGCCAACGGGGGAGGTCTGGTCGGTGCATAATGCAGTTACACAATGCACAGCTGGGGGAGAGAGGGAGCCTAAGGGCAGAGAAGAATTTCTCATGTTTAAATTTTTCTTGGCTTGCCATAAAATACGAATTTTATTTCATAATTTCCCCCTGTGGACCATTAATCTTTTGATAGAAAGCATTAGGTGATCAAATATTTGGTCCCTAGAAGCCAGGATGGCTGCGTCTGCCTCAGTGTCCATCATGTCCCTCGATGCATTGTCCTAATAGTCTGGTTCTCTCTTTTTGGGGGCTATACTAGCAGAATGTTAGGCAAGGATGGCAGCCAATTCTAGGTTGTCCACTAAGGAACTTAAGCCAATTTTCCTCACAAGTGCATTGTGTATGCCCATTATTTTATAGAGAGCTATAGAGGTGATCTATAGTTTCAAATCATTTAGACATCATTAATCTCATACGAGCAGATGCCACACAGTATGAAAGGCAAGAAACTGTCACCGTATCAGTTCCACAAACAAATTTAAATTGGTAGCAGGAACAACTATGTCATTAGCAAAGATTTAAGCCAAAATCCTCCTGAACCAAACCAGTTTCCTAGTATTTCCCCTAAACTGGGAGGAGGGTTGTTCAGAGAAGAAATTTCACTCTTCGTGGGTCATAAAATGATTTAACAAATGTCGTGGCCAAATGGTCATACCATTGGAAAACTGATAGAAACCAGCGTGCCCACCCTAAAGGCAGATCGACAGATTGGCAGGGGCTGTTTCCAAGGCTGCCTGTAAGTGACCTTGAACCCAAGGGAAACCAACTGTGCATCTCCCTAGCCAACCTGGGGAAAGGCAAGGTCATAAACTTGTTCCATAAATCCACTGGGTCCTGTTAGGAGATACCCAATATTCAACATCTAATATAAAGGATTATTTATGGCCAAAACAGTCATCATTAATTGGCTGT